GAAATGAAGTATGGTGAACTTGATGATATGTAGCATTCCTACAGAAAAGGATCTCAAGGTGAAGATGGATTGTAAAAGTGAAAGTGATTTAATTGTATCGTACAACTGCAGAAAAGGCAGCTCTAGGGAAGAGATGTGTGTATATATGTATATTTATATTTTTTAAATGAAGTGTGATGTATGAAACATGCAAAGTAATTTTCTAACTCTGTTGCTAAGACTTTCTCTGGAATATTTATACAGCTTGGTTAGTAAAGGCGCAATATATAAAAGATTCAGAAAAGGACATCAGAGATGACCAGAGATCTAGAAAACCTGATTTCTGGGAAAAATATTCAGCAAGTTGATGTTTCTTAGTTCAGACAAGAGAGAAGAGAGCTTTAAATCAGGAAAATACATTAGCAAGCAGAAGAGAACGTGTGTGTGAGTGCAGTTTATTTTGCTTGTTTGTTTGTTTTCTGGCTGCTGGAGATCAGAGCAGGACGTAAGGTGCTTAAGCTACCAAAGTTGTCACAAGACCTTGACCAGGCAACAGGTAGAAGTCTCTAATCACAGATGTTCAAATGCTGGAATAAGTTACCCATAGGGCTGAGAAATCTATAACTGTAAAATTTTAGCAGTAAATTAAATTAATTTCTGAAACATTCTTGTTTAGAGCAAACAGATTCTACATTGGAGCAGCAGAATTGAGTAAATTAGCTCCTAGCCCCAACTTCTCCATGAACTGAGGTTTTGTCATTAAAAAATAAAAGGCTATTTCCAGCTCAAAAAGTAAATGCCCTGTTTTAACTTGAGCTTCTGCTCTGTCTCAGTGATTGTCTGTCATAATTGATGAGCAAAGGACGGTGGCTTCTTTATTAATCTGATTCTGATGAAATTTGATCTATTTAAAAATGGGACAGTTAAATGACTACCTCTCTTACGGGGGTACCAAATTCCTATGCTGCACTAATAAGCCCATAGCAAGAAAACTGTTTTATGTTTTAAATTGAAGGGGAACAGTGTGCCTATTGCCTGTCTTTGGGGAAACCTTCATGTTTACTTTATGAAGGTTTCCCCAACCTTCCTTTTCCCCAGCCTGTGCGGTGCTGCATCTCCCGCGTGGGGCAGAGGCACTGGCTCGCGGCGGCGCTTCTGTTGCAGCCCTGTTGCTGAACCCTCACGTGTATCTCCCCTGTACCTCCATATTCTGTGTGTGTTTGTGCATTTCATCAGTCACCCTGATGCTAGATCCTGAGAGCATCAGGCCTCCCAGTTTCTATATCACATGCTCCTTTAATTGTCTTTACAGAGGGACATTTATAACACCGTCTTCCCACCAGCTTCTTCAAACCGTCAGACAAAACGTTTGGCAGAAATCTTAAGGAAATCTGCATAGCACCTCAGTAGAGTAATCTGTTACTTTTAGCTTCTTGCTTAATAAGACTAGTGCCTGGCAGTTGCTTGATGCTTTCTTGCATTGTATTGCCTGTGGTGCTAGTTTCTGATGGTGGATAGAAGACTTCAGGTAGTTTATACTGGTAACTCATGTTCTTAGCAGTTTAGTCACTGGTCATATGATGTTGCAGTGTTCTGATTCACTTGGAGTGTGTTTCAAGTTGTACACTAGGTGTAGTACACTACACTTAGACTCTACTGGTAAAGACAGTGCTTATCTAATGAAGGGCTCTTAGGAAAACAGCTTTCTCTTCCTGCAAAATTCAGTTCAGCTAAGACATTCTTGGCATTCTTCCTGTTGTCTTATGCTTGCACTCATGTGAGTGGAAGGCCTCAGTAGAATGAGGCTGACTGTAGAACCAACTCTCTCGTGTAAGCACTTCAAGCATAGGTTTGGTGGCTATCAGGATGTGGTGAAAAGAAGTTCTTTAGCTTCACTTTTGAGTGCTTCGATTCCCCCACGTGCTCTAGGAAAAGTGATTCTTCTGTTGTTTCTAAATCATGGGGTACAGGGCTTCCCAAGTTGGATAACATAATAAAGTAGCTGATAGGCGGAGAGTAGGATGTTTGTATTCTTGTATGTTCTGAGTCTCACCTATGCAACAGAGCTTTTGTAATTGTAACTTTTGGTGGTAAGTAATTAGATAAGATAGTGTTTTACTATCTTGTCTAATAGTGATGTATTAGCAGTGATGTATTTGTGCAGTCACATGCAGTTAACTACTGGAAAAGTTTATTCAACTAATGGATTCTCCTTTGTTTCTGAGGGTATTTATTAAAATACCTTAATATGACAAGGGCAAATAGAGGGAATTTGTTTTGCTGCAGTAAAATACTTATGCAGTATATTTGCAGCATTCTTTTAGGGTAAGATTGGCTAGCTGAAACACACCCTTTCCACTTTATTTAGTATTCACTCAGTGGTTTCTGCTCAGCGTGGTGTGTGGTTAGAAACAGGTATACAAACGGAAATGAAAATGAGTCTCAAGAAACTTTTAACAGAAACTGCTGGAGGTTCAAGTGAATGGTGTAGCACACAGAGGCACCCTTGCAAACAGGTCAGGGGAGTTATCTTATTGACTGCAGCCTTTGCAGAAAGGCACGGTAACATCTGAAGCTTCCTTACACACAGCTACCTTTAGGAGGTGAGCTGGCCATGCAAGTCTAGAATAATTCTCCCATTCCTGGAGATGCTGAAAGAGTGAAAAATGACAGCTGCAGAATGGCTAAGTCTCGTGATCTCTGCTGTCCCTGCCTTCCTCTGCATTTGCCCCGCTTGTGAGTACTGAGTGTTTTGCACAGAGGGCCCTGGTGCAGAGTACTGTCTTAGTCACCTGGCAGTTTATATCTCAAGGAGATTCTTAAGAAATGAGTGACATTATGTGAGGACCGACGCAAGGACCACACAAACTTTGACTCATGCTGTAAAACTCGTTCATAATGTAAGTCAAGAGACAGCTCAGGGTCTTTTTCAATATTTGCCTACTCACCCATCCTAACACTTATTAAATAAGTTAGAATAACTTAGGTATTAAGACAGTCAATACTTCTCTTATATCCCCTTCTGGAGACTGCTGGTCAGTATTTCAATCATTCAATTCTCCGACGAACTGTGATTTTTGCATGTCATTTCTTAAGAACCCTGACTCATCTGGTTTCCATTTCAACTGACAGTGTGTTTCTCTCATCTGCTTGGTGGATGGTTGAATGCAATTAATATATTGAATATGATAGCAAAGAACTGCTGTCTTGTGGGAACATGCACTGATTCAGACCAAAAAACTCGTTACTGGTGATGGGCCTTTAACTCTACTGATTCTCTGAGCAGAATCTGAGCATATGTACTCATGTTTTAAAGCAGGCAATTGGATGTGCTTTATCATTTTTGCACATGACTACCACAAAGCCTTTGACTTGCAAAGATGGGCCCACGGTTAGTAATAGAATATTTATAAGCTCTTCATTTTGTCTTAGTTTAATCATTTGCTGAGCAGAACATTTAGTGTTTCTAAAGATTAGGGCCCTATCCTGTTCTTGGAGCTCAGTTAATACCTGAAAAAGAAGTCAGAGGGACCATTAAAATGTATGCAAATCTCTAAATCTGTCTGTTAATTTAAACCTGTCACTGTATTAAAAGAAGGGCCTGAGGATGACAGCCCTATAGGGATTTATTTGACAATAGCAGCACACAGGCAGCTTTCGGCTTGCCCCGTGCTGGAGGCAGACAGTTCACCTATTCTCTGGACACTCCACAGCTCTCTGTGCATCAGTCTTTATCAGACTGAAGCTACAGACAGACCTGCTTTCCAAGCTAGTTGGAGCTTTTCTAGGTTTCTAGAGGAGCCAGCAAAAGATGCTAGTGCCGTTGGCTCAGCTGCTGCCACACTGTTGGACCAGTGTGTGAACTCTGAATGCCCTTTTCCATCAGGTGATTATAGGTGATATTAGCACAGAAGGTCCAAATTGTGTTTAGCTTTGGGTTAATATATACTGTATCCGTACTTTTTTGTTGTTGTTTAACTTCTACTCTTCATGAAATAGAGCCAATCTGTCTGCCGGATTGAACTACATTTCAACTATGAAGTAGATGTACATTTCACTGTAGATGTGGTATAAATTGAATGTGTAAAAGAGAGGCTCCCAGACGGGTGCCCATGTCTGTGGAAGGGCTGCCCAGAATTTGTGTGGTGAGATTTGCAGCTGGCCCATCAGCCTAGAGTCCATCCCAGCGCGTGTTGCCCTGCGTGGCCTAAGTCGGTACCATGTGGGGAGCGGCCCGACATGGACGTGGAGGAAGGCGAGGAGAGGCCTCTTGGGGACAGGGTGGTGAGAAGGGGCTACAGAACTACTGTGGAGTAGAGAATAAAGGGGACAGACCTAGAGGGAATCAGACTGAAGATGCAATTTATTGTGCAAAAGGAAAGGCCTTGCCTTGGGGCCTGGTCTTCGCATTTGCTACAGTGCTTTACAAAGGCATGGAACTTGTTGTTCAGTTACTAACCTAGATTATGTTGTTCTGTTAGTGGGTGAAGTTTAATGTTCTTTTTCAGTGCTGTACAATTTATTTTTTTTTCCTGTAGAAATAGATGCTGTTTTATATGCTGCAAATGTTTTACCTGCTGCTTCCGTTTTGCCTTGTTGTGCTTTGTTGCTACATATGTAGCTATTGTTGTTACTGTTCTGAGTAACTACTATGTGTATGCTCATACAGGACAATATATTTAATATTATTCAAAAATAAAATATTATTTTATGCTTGAATGGGTATCCAATTCTGATTCAAACCAGCTAGGTTCTGTCATCAGTCCTATGCAGAAATGTATACAGAAATATATACACTTATGGTGTGTGGTTTTTTGTAAGGGTCTTCTAGATCTTTTTAATTGAATACAATGTAAAGCAATAAATTGGTACTCAGAAAAATGATGTACTTCCTACTGTCTTAAAGACAACTTAGGTGCAAGGGTTTGTTTAAAATTAGGATGCTGAAAAGGTCTCCTGCATGCTGTTTACCAAGTTTTGGTAAGATGCTGATAAGAATACTCTGCCTTCTTATTTTTCAGATTTAGAAGGAAATGCCCGTCAGAACAACCAGCTGCTAAAGATAATTCTGACCATGCATCAATTTATCATCTCCTCTGCGGACATGCTCCAGAAGCTCATTGATCTATATCCTTTTTAATATTCACCCACTGTTGAGGTGAAGTTAGATATACTTCACTATGTTGAAGTGTGTAAATAGTTAATGTATTGGTACATTACTATGCCTTTATTAAAGTACTAATTTTTAACTTTTTTTTGCTTATGATTCACAAACTGAAACTCCAGATCAGATTTTAAGTAGCATAATTCACCCCTCTTTGGCTGTAAAGGAAGCATCTAACAGCTGTTGGATTTTATTAGTTAATTACAGTGAACCTAGGTCTAAATGTCAGATCTCTCTCTCTCTACATACAAATAGAAGAGCAAGTAATTTTTGAAAATGTCCAGGTCTGATTGTATCACTTGGAGATGTAACATTTTCACAAATACTATTTCTCAAACAATTCAAAATTACAGTTTGCACTGAAGAAAATTAATATGTCTCTTAATTATAAAATATATCTTCTTCTTGATGTGCTGCTATTTTGAAGTCACTGCCAGGGTTCATGTATCTGTTTGCTGCCTATTACATTTTCACAGCAAAGCTATTAAGATCATATTGGCAGTATCAGTCAGAGATCAGAGAAGGAATTCAAACTTTTACCAAACCAGATTTGCATATTTTGCATGCTCAGATTTTCACTTTGCATATATCTCCCTGCAAAATCAGTGAAAAGTAAAAACAGATTTGAATGCATTAAATAATCTGGGCTTTGGTACTTTAAAACAAACAAACAAAAAAGGAAAATATCCCTGTTTCACTATTTTCCATCTTGAAATTCCTTCAGTGCATTTAGTTAGTTTTTGACGTTAGTTTTTGATGATTTGAGCACCATCTAACTTTAGATGCTCACTTCAGAGCGATTCAGAATACTTGAACAGCTACTTAAATCTCCTTAGCTTCACAGGCAGTGTAATTTAAGCACTTAATCTTGGCATTTAAATCTTGGATGGGGTATATCCCATAAATTGCAGTAGATTGAGCCTGCCGTCAAAGTCAGTCAGATCGAGAGAGGGTCTGCAAGATATTTTCAAGAAATTATTTTGTGTGATATTGAAAACGTATGTGCAAATCTACAGCAGAATAATCAAGATATGCGTAACACATTTTTTCAAGTGGATTTTCCATGGCTTCCAAAGAAATTAGTTACTTTACAAAAATATGTTATTTTGCTTGAAGGTCATAATAGACCAAAAACTTTTTCTTACTTGCTTTTTTTGGGGGGGGGGTTTGTTTGTTTCTATTTTTGCCTCTTCCCAGCTATGTCAGTATGTCAAATGAAAACTATTGAGCAGTTAGAGAGGTGAGCTTTGCGAAAAAAGGTATTTCAGATTTTTTTCTCCACTGTTGTATCCAACTGGTTATATTTAAATGAAAATGGCATCCATTTTAGAAAAAGCTTGACTGAATCATAATTAAGTAAAGGATATCTTGTCATAAAAAAATAATTTTTCAATGAACTTTAATATTAGTTCATGTGAGTGCAGGAGTTTTGTAATAAACTGTGAAGCAGGTTTCCAAGGAGCACATGCAGAAAGCAGGCCCCTTTCACTAGGCTAAGTTACGTTCACTATTCCGCGCTCAAGCCGGTATGTCAGTAACAAAGTATTACAGCTTTCCTGTTTACAACACGTTTCTTGGTGTGCATATTGTCTGTGCTTTGTATAAAACCTTAATCTGATATAAAATGACATCAGTGGTATGATTCCTATTGATTATGGTAGCAACATATAAAGCACGTCATGTTTCTTATCATACACAAATGGCTGTGGTTTCCTTAACAGTTTTTTCTACATATTTTAATGCTTTAGAAAAGAAATCTTCTATGCTATGTGTAAAGATATGTTATTTTGTGAGGTAAGAATATATTTTGCTTGCTTATTACTAGATCGTAGCTGTTCATGGGCTATAAGAATGCTTTTGCTTATCTTAAGCTGATGCTGAATAGAGAAACAGTTGGACTCCTACAGCTTTTCAAGGTTTGCTTAAGCAGATTGAGACAAAAATGCTCGTGTGGCCTGTGCAGATCTGTGGAAGTGAATGCAAGAATTAATTGGATCATGATTTTGAACTGATTCTCTGTGAATCTGTGCCCTAAACATCCTTAAAAAATGACAGTGCTCAGGAATAGGTAGCACTGGGTCTAGTGTTATGCTTGTAAGTACTGCAGGTCTATTTTAAAAGCAAATGGACAGGGGATATTGCAGCTATTTTTCTATGAGGCAAAACTATTGTATTCGGTATATGATTCTCCTTAGTCTTAGATCACTTCTACTGATTGTGGGTCATACTTTTTCTTTAATTGTAATGCAAAGCTCAATGTCTTGGCTTAGAGAAAATGAGATTTGATTTGATTATGCTATCAGATTAGCATATGATATATCTCCTTTACATAAAGTAGGGAATAAATAGTAACAGCTAGCAAGAATAAGTTCTGTGGTTTTTTTTCTCTCTCCTTTTTATTTATTTTTTTTCTAAATAATAATTATACTTTGGTGTTGCGTGTGATCAGAGAATATTTTTGCTTGCAAGCAGCATTCATAAATATTTAGGAATGTACATTTCCATATGTGCAACAAGCACAGATTTTCACATTAGATGGTCATAAGTCACACTGGGGAACTGGATTTTTTTATGATTGAAACAATTTAAATGGCTAGTATGCAAAAGTGTACTCAAAATATTTTATTTCTATAGGTGAAAAAAAACACTTTTAAATTTATGTAACCTTTTTCCAGTTAATTGATTAAATTCTTATTGGTGTAGTGCACTTACCTAATTTTAGCCAAATAATTTCAAGCTTTACATAGACGTGTAAAGAGATCGTAGAATTTGGCCAAATTCTACAAGCTCATAAGAAAGAAATATGTATCTATATATTATGTAAAACCAAATATACTGATATTAAATTTCTTGCAAACATACATGGTCAATAGTTCTACACAGCATTAAACCAGATTGTTTTAGCAGAAATCTAAAATTCAAAATTAAAATTAGAAAAACAAATGAGAAACAAAGTAGTGAAAACAAGAAAAAGAAACCATAAACAGGAAAACCCATCTACATCTCAGTCTTACTGATGCACAATCTTTTTCGTTCTTTCTTTTTTTTTCCTTTTTTTTTTTTTCTTCCTGCATTTTCAATTTATGATAGGTATTGGATTACAGAGTTCTGGGTTATGTTCAAAATGGACTCCAAACTAAACAAAACTATGGAGGAATTTCAAGAACTGGTAAAAGCTAATGGTGAAGAGTCGCATTGTCATCTAATTGACACAACTCAAATGTGAGTGTTAGTTTCAGTATGCTTGTAAAACAAACTTGCTATCAAATTTCCTTTATTCAAGTATTATGTTTCTCTAGCATGGCAGGATAATGGTCTTATAGCAGGATAGTTTCAGTCAATTACAAGATAACAGTCCTATGTTAACCTATCCTTCCCAGAGTTTAGAGATCCATACGGATGAACTTTATATTATGTAAAGAAATGGAATGACTTCTAAGAGTGCCTTAGCTTGAATTTAACTGTCCTGTACACCCTGTGGTGATCCTCTATGCTGGTTACATTTTACTTTATTCAGGGAATTCAGAAGATTTATAGGGAATGAAAGATTTTGAGAGATTACTTGAAGTCAATGAGAGAGAAAAATGCATTTTAATCAGGTAAAACACAAGCTAAAAATATTTTTGCACTTTTAAAGCCACAGGTCAGCGGGTAGGTAAAGGTTATTTCACCATCAAACTCTTGATGTTATTATATTTGATTTTAGCTGTGAAATGACATGTCCTGTACAGATAACTCCCACAGCTATACTTCACAACATTTCCCTTGGCAAGTGAGCCATCCTTTTAAAATAAGAGTGAGATAGCACTGTGGAACAGTCCAACAGTGCAAATTAACACCCTGATTGGGCAAAGAAGAACAGAATTTGACATACATTCTGTATCTGGCTATGAAAAGAGGATATTCAGATTTTGAAAACCAATTCAATCTCATTACTTCATGGACAAGTAGCATCTTGTATTCAGAGGCAGGTCAATGAAATCTATTGAGAACTGAGAAAAGGCAGAGTACTGGGATATATTTAATGGAGACAGAAAATTAGGGACAGCAATTCTGAGAAAGCAATATTATAGAGTAATATAGTTGTACTGAATTTTCATATTACATTAAGAAAATCAGTATCTTTTTTGTGATATAATCCTTAATGAGTGAAAAGAATGTGCTCTCTAGAAATTCAAATAGTTCCGTTTTCATTGCCATAGAGTGTGAAAACAATGTAACTGCGTTTTCTGTTATGGGGAGAAGAAAAGTTTCTTCAGAAGATAACTCAGTGTTATTTTAAAACTTGTCTAAAAGAAACTCCAGGGATTGGTCCAGAAAGCTAACACAGCGTGTAAAGACCAACACCAGTAAGAAAAGGAAAGTCTCCCTTCTTTTTGATCACCTTGAGCCAGAGGAGCTCTCGGACCACCTTACCTATCTTGAATTCAAGTCTTTCAGAAGAATATCGGTAAGCGAATCATTTATTTATTTATTTACTTATTTTATTCTTGGTACATACCCTTTTGCTACAGTCATCCCTGCCCAGGCAGTGACCGTTTTAAGTGATTATGGAAGAGAGTTGGAGCAGAATCATTTGGAAAGAAGAGGAGTCAAAAATTTGATCCTCTTCCAAAAAATCTGTTTTTAGTTTAACAAGTCGTGTAATTATGTGGGGAAATAAAAAGCCTCCTTTGACCCAGATCAGTAATTAGGGTAAAATGGGATGAAGGGAACTTGGGATATCTGCTATAGTACTAATTTCCTGCGGCAGAAGAAAACAGTATGTGTTCCTTTGCAGTGCCTTCTAAGGGATGTTATATAATTAGGAGGTCCACTGGAATCTGCTTGCCAATTTTGTTGTGTTTAACAAAATAAAGATTTGGGATAGAAAAACACTTGGAAAATGCTATTGAGATTTTACTGGTAATGGAAGGTGAAGTGTTCTGTTAGAAGACCTTTCAACAGTTCTCCTGGGTTTGTCTCTTTCTTGTTTCATTTGTTTTGTTTTCGCAGCTTCATTGGTTATCTGATAAAACAGTGACTTCCTTATGCACCTTGGCCTCCTTTACATCTGTCTGTGCTACAAAGTTACTACTATTCAAGCTTGGTACAACTTGCCTGTGAAAGGAAAGAGGGAATGCTAGAGACTAAAATCTAAGAGGATGGCCAAGTCAGTGTGATTGCAACAGTGGGGGCAAGCAGAAGATAAAAATCTAGAATAGGAAGATGAAATCTTACAGGAAGGAGACTCTCGAATTGCAGAAGATTTCAGAGTTGTGTGTAGTTGTACAGCTGTGCTTCATACTGAGCTGGAGGTGCATGGCTCTTCATGTATTGTGTTAAATTCCAAGAGCTGTAGAACCAAAGCCAAGCACAGGCAGCTGCCCGTAGGCAGTAATGATCCTTAAAGCTTATGTAACTCTGCACACTCTCAAAGCTCTCTGTAGGCATGGAGTCATTAGTGACTAATGAGCCTAGCAAGCATGAGGCACAGTCACAGGCTGCTTTGTCAGGGCTCAACAGCTGTGGAACATGGTCCCCGCGTACATTTTGTTTATAAATTGAAATTAAAATGTTAGTTTACTGAAAGCTTGGATTGCAAAATGGCTTTATTCATTGAATATTTGCAGGCTGTGTTCATGAAATGATAAGCTGCAGAATTCTACTCTTATTAGGCAGCATATGCTGGGAAGAGAGGATGTAAATATTTAATACCCTAACCTTATACAGTGCATAGCAAGATCCTTCCGCAAGACACCGTGTATCTGGCAGCAAAGCCATGCTTCAAATACCTGTTTTTCTTTACTGTGTGTGCTGCTTACAGTCATGTTACAGCTAAACTTGTTAATAAACTCTTGCACCAAAATTACTTGGAAACTTTGAGCAGTATGTTAGAAGTAAGTTTTTTCCCTATTTAGAAAAAGAAATATCCTTTCTCAAGGAGAGAGCTGCTGGGAACAAAATAATAGGCTAATCAAACTGATTCATAGTTACACTGAAGCTGCTATGAAGATAATAATTATATAGTTAGATACTGAAAAAATTATCTATCTGTAAAGAGTAGTTTGTTAGATTTCAAGATCTATCTAAATCTGGCATTGGTTCAAAATTCAAACAATAGTTATAAGTACTATGTAATCTGAGCGACAGCACTACTTATTACTGTTAATATTTCTTCCATTTGAATTTAAGAAGAGATATCTGCTGTGATCTTTGTTTTTTAAAGCATTAATACTTCTTATTAAATGAGTGGGAAAGAAAGTTAAAAACAGAGTAGAGTGAGCAAGAAACAAACAGCAGCTTTACAACTTCCAACCTTTCCGTAAGGATCCATGTAATCCAGCATATTCTTGTGGCCTGAAGAAAGGAATATAGCTGTGGTCAAGAATTATTCAAATTCTTAATCATTCTTGTTAATAGAGAATGGATAAACAATTTATCAACAGAAACGAATGCTTCTCTTGATCTTAATGGGAGAATGGCTTCAAAAAGAATGATAATTATTCTTCACTGATGGCTATAAATATAGGTGTCCACCGAACAATTTGAGATCAATTTTAGGTTAAATAAGTCAATCTCACAAACTGCACTAAAAATATTAAAAGGTTCTGTAAACATCATTCTTAATTGGTTTCTACCCGTTTTAGATTTATCTAACTAGACAAGTTTCTTTTTCTTTTGCGTGTGTGTGTTTTAGTCAAGTCAGTGTACCCTACATACACAGACTAAAGATTTAACTTAAGTTATTACTAGTTATTAGATGACACTTCAAATTCAGTTTTAGCTTTCCCTGTAGGAGCCTAGAGGTAGTGAATATGTGCAGCCACTGCAGCTGGGAGGAGAGACCCAAAAGACCCAGATCTGCTCGTCCTATGCTTATAAGAGCCAAGACTTCGGGGACCCAAAGTTTCACTGACTCTTCCAAATTCCTTGTATTTGTATCCCTATACTTGTTTGCCACAAAGGCCTGAGGTGACTCCTGCAACCAGCGCACTCGCTCTCTCCTTCAGTCTGCTAGTTGTTCTACATAGAGCAGGTGCAGCATTTGTCATCTTCTCTAATGTAACAGCATGAATAAATTGACTGTTTTTTTTGCTCTTTGGCTCAAGGAGCTTACCTTTAGCTACTGTGACAGTTGTTGGATATTATCATTACATATTTTCTTGCTTGGGATGAATTCTGTCCTAATCTGTAATTCTCTAAGCACTGAGTATTTGGTGATTAGTTGTCTAGTCTGGCTTTATATTTGATGAGGAGGATGGATGTCTCTAGAATGCAATTGCTGCTGTTAATCTTAGCTGCATCAATTCGTTTTCTAGGCAGCGACTGCTGTTCGGTGGCTGTAGGCAGCGTTGAGGTAACCAAGACAGACTGCAGTCAGGGAAACCGGAGCACGTCCTTCCTAAGCAAGCTGGGTTTTGTCTTTGCTTTTTGTGGACAGATTTGTTTCTAGAACTTTGCCCTGTGAATACACAGGGCATACCCGCATTTCTAAAGAATTCAGTTAAGCCACTTCAGAAAGCCTTTGGCTATGGGAGGTGTCTTTAAAAGTCGTTTATCCTTTCTAAAGTTAGAACTCTTTTAATAAAGCAAAGCAAATATAGTATTCCTGTAAGTTTTGCTGTCTTCAAAGAATAGCCAAAGAAATTGGGGACAATGTAAGCACAGAAATGCCAAATATTTGTTTGTAATTTACTTGATGCGGCTCTGAGCTGAGCAAAGAAGAGATTTCAGTCTGATATTTAAGGTACGGAATATATCTATTGCACAGTATTTCCTTTGAAAAGCAGACCTGTATCTGCCTGTGTATCATGAGGTGCATAAACCTGAGAGTGAATTTTCATTTTTTTAAAAGTTTGCAGATTATCAGAACTACATTGTGAATAGCTGCGTGAAAGAGAATCCTACAATGGAGAGGTCAATTGCTCTCTGCAATAGCATCTCGCAGTGGGTACAGCTAATGGTTCTCAGCAAACCAACGCCACAGCTCCGGGCCGAAGTGTTCATCAAATTCATTCACGTTGCACAGGTCAGTTTAATTTTGACATGCTTGGTCTTTATTTTATCTTGCTCTGAAATGGCTGTTTCATTGCCCTTCCCTCAAAATTATTGTTGAGCCAGCTGCGATAGAGGAGTTGGCAGCGGTCTTCTAGTTTCATACATACAGTACAGGTATTTCATGTTCACACCAAGTTTTCACATATTATTATATCCTCAATGGCACCATCACTTTCTCATGATATCCATTTGAAACGCCCATTTTTCCCAAATACTAGACTTGCTTTTGAATCAACTAGTGAGACTTCCACAGCTGCAGTTGCCTGCTGCTCTTTTCTAAAGTACAAAACACCAACATGCACTTGGCCATAAGGGGAAGTATTTTCACCAGGTATCTCTTAGTGGACAGAAGCAAATTGTGTTCCTAGCACTTCTTTGTTCACTACTTCAACTGAAATAATAGTGAAGATAATAGTGTTACAGTTACATGTTACAGTAGGCAGTGGGAAGGACATACTGAGGATCCTTTGAAGACTTGATAATTTCGCTATCAAAGTTAGTGAAATCAAACATATTGTAGAATACATCTCGTAAGACTTAGATCCAGAATAATAAAGAAAATGTAGAATTTGAATATAACTATTGAACCATTTTTAAGTAATAAATATTGTTTGTTTGTATGTCAACACAGAAACTCCACCAGTTGCAGAATTTCAATACATTAATGGCAGTGATAGGAGGTCTCTGTCACAGTTCCATTTCCAGACTCAAGGAAACGAGCTCTTATGTTCCTCATGATGTGACTAAGGTTGGTATTGTTTTGCAAAGTTTTGCAAACGAGGTAACATTTATTTTCTTTTCCCTTATTCAGTCATATGCCAAAGCAAGCCTATTTCATTAGGTAAGGTAGGAAGGGAACCTTCCTCACCCGTTGTTTTTGGACTCTTCTCTGTCATTTCATGTCTGCAACCCTGGTTACTCTTACACATACACCTGTTCCTTTCCTCAACATTTGTATAGCTTCTCTAAAGTTTCCTTTGTAATACTCAGATATGGCAAGCTACATTTTTCTTTACACAAAATAGTACATGATAATATTCAAACACTAAAGCAGATAATTTGTTCCTAGAGAATTTGAGAACAAAATTCATATAACCTATGACAACATTGACCACCTTGTAACTATGAAATGCTAGTATGGACATCTGCATATATGTTTTTCTGAGATTCCAGCTACTAAAAATATGAAGAAAAGCATATTTTAGCAATGAAATGGCTTTGATCACTCATAGCTGAGAAACTAGTATTTATTAGTGAATTTTGTGTGGGTCCAGGAAATAGTAACCTTGTTGGGAGTCTGTGTCTGAACAACCTGTTTGAATCAAAATATATTTAAATAGCTTTAGTGGACAGTGGACTTGGAATATGAACTGGAATTATGACCTCCCTTTATTTCCCAGTTCTTTTATAATGTTTAACTTGCTCCTGACAATGATTAAGAACACACATTTTTCTTGCCTAAAAGTGTTCTCAAAGTTGTATTGTAATTCCCCGGCTTACCACTGCTGCAGTTCCAGCTCTCGGGATTTCTAAAACCCATTTAGCAAGCTTATTTTAAATGCAACTTAGCTTTCAGATTTTATCCTTGCAAGGAATGGACTACATATATGCCCATCATTTGAATAACGTTTTGCATCAAAAAATTTAAAAAAGTGCTAATAGAAAGAAGGTAGAATGTTGGGAATTACTTATTGATAACATACTCTAAAATTTAACCAAAAATACTGTTTTGTTCAAGGAAGGGATTAGACAGGTACTTCCATTTGAAAACATTGGTGGACTGACCTCTGTATTAAAAGTCAACTCTAAACTGTATAGTAGTTTTTTAAAAAGAGGATATCTACATTGCTAGACCAAAGATTCATTTGGCCTTTATAACCTGTCCAGTATACGGTTTCTTCATCCTTTTTCAAGGGGTGGAGAAAAAAAAAAAAAAAACAAACCTAAAAACACAGATGTGCCACTATTCTGGTCATTCTGTCATATACACATGGCACAGCATAAGGTTTTTCTGCGAGGAGGACTTTTAGGTGGCAATTTCAGCTGATGACCAAGAAGCCAGAGACGCACAGTCCGTGTTTTTAAGTTGAAGATGAAAATAAGACATGACTGATAACTTCTGAATTCTCTCTCAGGCATTATCAGCAAACACATTCCCTTATTTGTGAGAGTACTATTTCTTTTCATTGACTATAGGGAATCTAGGAAAAGAGGCATTTCAGGTTTGGCACCTAAGCTAGATATAATTATATTAAATGATATGAGTACCAAGATTTCACCTGAAGCCTCGCAATTTAAATTATTATTTTTTAAATCTTTGGGAGTAAACCTAACAATAAAACAAGAAATTCTTGTACCATAAGACCAGAAATGTGTGACTAATTTTGCTGCTTCGTTTTATTTTCAGGTGTTCAATGAAATGACAGAACTGCTTTCGTCTTACAGAAACTATGACAGTTATCGACGTGCCTATAATGAGTGTACTAGTTTTAAGATTCCAATCCTTGGTGTCCACCTGAAAGACCTGATATCACTTTACGAGGCCATGCCAGACTACTTAGAGGACAAAAAAGTTAACATATACAAGCTTTACTCTCTATACAACCACATAAATGAGCTGATACAGCTTCAGGAAATACCTCTTCCCCTGGAGGCTAATATGGACCTTGTTCATTTGCTTACAGTAAGTCTGTTAGGCAAAGTACCCCAATTCTTTAAATGATTTTTGTGTACCTCTCAAGTAGTCAATGCCATTAATTCTCAATGCATAATGCTTGGACGCAGTCCTGTGCCACGTGCTCTAGGTGACCCTGCGTGTGCAGGGGGGTTGGACTAGATGATCTCTAGAGGTCCCTTCCAACCTTCAGCATTCTATGATTCTATGAATGTCTTAATGTTTTCTCTTCTAAGGAAATGGACAACTTTCTTCTAAAGTTACAATGATTTACTTGGCAACAAAGGTAGAGGTGGCTTTTCAGCAGTATGCTTCCAATTATTTCTATAAAAAGCAAAGTAAACATTGTTCTTGCTTCACTACAGTAGCAAGCATTCTTTCTGCATTTTCGCTAAGAAAGAAATATCTACTGCTTAAGCCTAAATAGGGAGAAAGCTAGAATGCTTGCCTAGAGGAAGTACACATTGAGGACAGGAGACTGCATACAAAGCTGTCTCATGTTGAATGTAAAACCCTTCGCAGGGGAGTTTAGTCTCTTAGGACATGTTGGGTTAAATGTACTCCATTTCTAGCTATCTGATGTAATACAACACATACACTGTATTAAACTAATTTTTTATGTTTCCAGTAATAGCTGCCTAGTGCTAACAGAAAATTAATACTCCCTAGCATGTAAGTCGCAACAACTATGCCTAGTAAGTTAAAATACTACTATGTTCCTGTCTTGTTTCTCACTGTTTTGTTTGGCTTTAGTAAGTACCTCTGACTAGAAGAGACAGATAGGGCAGTTTCACTTTCTGATTACAGGCTTCATTTCAGGAAAGAACTAATAAGTAACATGAATCACATGAGTATTTTTTTTTGCTTCTGAGAGCACTATATTAAGTGCAAAGACACGCGGCACACTAAGGCAAATGCAGCTGCAATTGTGACAGTATGTGACATACGCATAAGCAACATGTAATGAGCAAATTCTCTATTTTTTTTTTCAAATTCCTTTATCCAGTTGTAATGATTCTTTCTTTATTATAACTGATTTTGGCTGCTTAAGGTTCTCACTACAGATAAGACAACCTTTTATTTTTATCAAACATTGCATATGGCCACAGCTGGATTGGTTAAATCTGAGAAGGTTAAAAAGAAGTTTTCTGAGAGTTAGAGTTGATGGGCATTTTCGCTAGAATTGTGTTTCTGAGCATAGTTGCACACTGGAGCACTTCAATATCATGGGAACAGCTTTTGTCCCAGGCTACTCATTAACAGACTGCTAGTTAAATGCCTGCAGTTACTTGCTGTGTTAATGATTGTGGCTGTATAATGTTACAAGTTTCCAGATAATGGCCACTAGAGACTAGAATTTAGAAATACACTAATTTTGAGTCATGATCAATACCTGTGTAGCTCAAGTGCCCTTTTTTTTCTGTGTTACAGACTAAATTAATAACTAATCCACCAAAAAAAAATGTATTCTAGGAACAAATAAGTGAAGTATCAGTGACTGTTTTGGGATTAAGCTAATGTTGTGTTTGTTTTCAGTTGTCCCTTGATCTTTATTATACAGAAGATGAAATCTACGAGCTCTCATATGCGCGAGAACCTAGAAGTCACCGAGCTGCGGTAAGGGCCTTTCCAGATTCTTAGCAGAAAGACTTTTTTTAATAAGTAACTTACTTAAATGGAATCCTTTGCATTCATTTTATTTAATATATACTAAACTGGAAGCATTTGAGTTTAACAGACTGAGCAAAATCTATCAAAGAGTACATCGATTGATGATGAAGCCTAAGCTAGAGTGCACGTGAGATTTGACATCGTCAGCTTTTATAATAGAAGCATAAATCCATTTTTAGTTAAACAAACCAGGCATCAAGCTCATGCTTTATAATCAATATTGATGCTTTTAAATTAAGAATTCTTATATGATTCAAATATTCAAACCCATGAGTGTTATATTGCTTCCCTTCCCTTTTAATAAATATGGAAAAGACAGTGGTTTATTTTGCAAAGAGCTTATAGTTAATCAAAAATATGGAATGAACACAATGACACTGGAAAAGTAATTATGCTGTTCTTCGTACAGTGACTGAAATAGTTCAGAAAGAAATTAGAAACCAGCGAAATGATCATGATTTATGGTCAGTTATTTCTTGGAGTGAAATATTTCACTCATCAATGGCAATTGAAACAGTCTAGTAAGAGACTAAGTAGATTAAATACTTATATTCTAAGATATATCTGGGAATATAAAATTAGATAGCATTAGATAATCATTAGCATATAAAATTAGATAGAAAAAGCATGGAAATTATCCAGTTAGTCTATGATATAAGTAATAAGACAGTGCCAGAGGCAATCCAGGGTGAACACATGATGGTGGAAGAGACTTAATTTTTTTTAAAAAAGGAAGGAGGAGAAAAAAAAACGACAAAAAAAGGGAGCTTACAGAGTTGTCAGTGAACAGTATTGATTTAAGAAAAGATCTCTCTTTCGGACACTTCAAGGAAGAGCTTCCTCTGAAGTACCAATATGGCAGTTACCGAAGGTATGATGTGGGACGAGAGAGGCCATCCTGTGTTAAAGCGTCTAGTGTAGCAAATGAAAGAAGCACAGCACTGAGATTACTTACATGTGGTACTAATGAAGTTCCATATTATTTATTTTAGCCTTTGACACCTTCCAAGCCACCAGTAGTTGCAGACTGGGCCTCAGGGGTTTCCCCAAAACCTGATCCAAAAACCATCAGCAAGCATGTTCAGAGAATGGTGGATGTAAGTATGGCAGCTGGAGTTGCTATGGAACACAGGGAGCAGGGAAGGAGTAGGAGACATTCTCAGAGCTGTGCCGAGTTCTGTGCTTGTGTCCTCACATGTGCCTGGCTTCAAATGGCAACAGGAGCCGGTGGGAATGCTGGTTTGTGTGTGTGCGGAGGCGTCCTTCCAAGGATCCCAGAGGCCAGCACTGTGTTCGGGCAGTGCCTGGAAGGCCTGGCAGGCCTCTCTCTGCGTTTCTCACTGGCTGCCATTGCCTTTTCTGGCCCCTGAGGGTTGCTGGATTTACTGGGAACTGTTCGGTACGTTCAGGGGATTTCATGTTAAAACAGAAAGAGGAAAGGGGAGATAGAGACTGTATTTACATCTCTGCTCACATCCGTTTTCCTTCTAAGCTTCTAACATTATTTGATATTCTTTGATGGTGTTTTAGGGTGTGTTTCTAAATGAGGCCTATACATGCTCCTTGCCTTGGGGCCTATGACGATCAGTAATGTCATTCCACAGGTAGAAGTGTCAGCACAACCGCTTTCTCATTTTAACTATATCTAATGTAACATTGACCCGATTAATGAAGCTACTGCTAAGCTGCACCTGTTTGGGTATAGAGACCATCGGTGAGAGCATTAATGGAGACCGTTAGTGTAAGTGTGTGTGAGGCCGGCCATGATGAACGGGGCGGTATCTAGGTGAGAGCTGCCACGGTGCACAGACCCATTTAGACTGGCTGGTGTCACCTCGCCTGCAGCTTGCTACAAGCCAAGGAATTATCACAGACTTCTCCAGACTCAAGCAAAGAAAGCGGTTAGTTAGAAAGATTACTGCACTGTTAAATAAATACTGGGGGAAAGTGGGAGAGGAAACCTCTGCATATTATGGAGAACTAAAGTTACTGAGTATGAAGTCATTGTAAACTATTTTATCTTACTCAAGTCTGTCTTCAAAAACTACGACCATGATCAGGATGGATACATTTCTCAGGAAGAATTTGAGAAGATAGCAGCCAGCTTTCCATTCTCATTTTGTGTAATGGCTAAGGATTGGTGAGTATGTTAAAACCTTTTTAACCCAATTCAGCATGTGAACTTTGCAAGCATCCGTATTCGGTGGTGTGGGCTTTTCATTATTTATTTCTATAATCAGTGTGGTAAAACCATCCTCTGTTCTCCCAGGAATAGAAGCATTCACAACCTGCTTCCACTTCCAAGCATGTTGTGAATGACATCTTCATGGGTTTACAGCACTGTTTATTGGGTGGACATATGAGGAAAAACATATGCAAAAACAAAACAGTGATTAGAGTTTCCATGTCTTCAGAAGGTTAAGTATTCAAAGTCAGGCAAAACTACAGTTTGAGTCAGCACTAGAAAGTAGTTTTGAGGTTGCATCTCATATTAAGATACTTTATTTATCCTTCTAAGCTGCATTTTAATTTGTAGGTAAACTTCTGTAGGCTGGGGGAGCAGCTGACAAGATTATTGCCATTGCTGTAGTTTTTGGTCAATCAAAGAACGGCCATTTAAAATTGTGAAAGAAAGGTGTGTTTAATTCTCCTTGCATTTTGAAGAATGAAAGAATGACTACACATTTTTT